CTTAGATTTCCTAATTTTGAAATGTCGTCTTAGGTGATTCTATCGATGACTCATCACCGCAGCCGCCCATTGATTCTACGAAATCAGTGGAAGCAATTTTTATTCGTGAAGCATTAGCGTTCCGTGCAAGGGGTGGAGGTTGCGGTAAGCCCCTCGTGCATTACATGGATGGTTTTACTATTGAGGTGAGACTCGTAGAAGGACATTATCCTTGAAGTGTTTGTTTCTTATCAGATTTCTTTTTATTTATTTCATTTTTATTTTGGTATATCTTCAGGAATCTGACGTTCCGTTTCCGCTAACTCAGTACGATAAACTCACTGAGCTGGTGTCATCCGATGTTCTGGACGATATCATGCCGATGATTGCAGATATCGACGTCAAAACTAAAACTGAGCCTAAAGGTAACGAATTGTGGAACTCTTCCTCGATCTTCCTCCACCTTCCTGTATAATATGATTCCGAACTAGTATTGGTTCCATCAACCTCGAGAATTAGCGGCGAACATGTTCTCCACTGTCCGTCGCAATAGTGCAGCGATTCTCAAGAGCACTTGAATCATGATGGGAACAAATTAACCCTTTTTATTGAAATCTCCGCTCTTTTTCGTCTGAAGCGTAGGTCATGATTTTGCTAGTCTGCACCAAAAGTGGCAGCTGCCTTGCCACAGCAAGTAAGAATATTGGTTACAAGCTGTATGGATAGTTAGTTTTAGCCAGCCTTCTACAAACTTTTTTTAATGATTCGCGAAGGTTTCCTAATGGAGCGGCGGCTTAGCTCAAATCATAAGTTTTCAGCCACACGTGCGAAAAACAGTCCACCAGCGAAGCAAGCGGCGCCAGTAGCAGAGCCAGAGAAGGAACATAAAACTCGAAAGGCACCACCACGTGCGCGAAGGTCAACGACAGCACAAAGTGAGACGACGACTAAGCCGAAGAAGGAAGAGGTTCAAGAAGAAGAATCACAAGAGGATCATGTTGAAGAGCGTAAACCAACTAAGGTTTCGAAAAGTTCAATTCCCATTCTCTTTCGAGAATTCCTGCGGTGTAGTGGTTTTCTGAAGGGTTTTGTAGTCCAAAAAAATGTTCATACTAAAAGGGTACAAGTGATTTTTGCACGGCTGTCACTGCTGACTTATGATACATCTTTGAGAAGTTTGTGTTTGACTTGCTTATTTTAGAATCGTCGACCTGGATCTGCTAATCATGTTCCACGACGGCGAACAAATGAGTTGGAGCTGCTATTGAATATGGACTTCGGACCAAAAGATGCTGGTCGGCGTATACTGGACACCGAAAAACGAAAGAGCGTTCTGGAAAAGGAGAAGCGAACATCGTCTGAAACTGGTGAAGAACACCACGATTCAGCAGATAAGCCTCGCTCGAGGCAGAAGCGGAGAAGCACCCAATCAACAACGTCGGAGAGTCCGGCAAAATCTGAGCGTCCACGATCCTCGGTTGAGTCTGTCGAGCCCACGCGAAGAAGTAAGTTTCTGAGCTTGTGTAACTCATTGAAATACTATTTAAAGCCTTAATGTTTTGAAGAGAGTAGCGGCGCTCAACCAGTTCTTAGGCGTCCTTTTTCAAAAAGTCTAACCGGCAGTCTCCTATATTAATTATCTCACTTTCGTGGATTCACAGCGTTAAAAATGTCAGTTTGACCTCTATTGTCTCGTCCACCGATTCAAAGGCTATTTTCTGTCGCGCGAGTTCATTTTTTACAACATGTTCTTCGTTTTTTCACTATTAGATAGTATTAGCATCAAGTGACCTGAAGAAATGATTAGTGAGCAGGCGGCGACAGAGTATCGCTTTGCTGGCATGAAACGAGCAGGTTCGGACAACTCAAACAGGCTGTTAGGGGTCCTTATGGTGTTCTCGATGACTACTTTAGTTTTTCTTCCCTAGAGAGGCCGTAACTGGACGCCAGTACCCGATGCAACCGCGGGGTCTGGCTTTAAGGCCCGAAATCCATTCAACAGTGAACAAGTGAAACTTATGTACTAGGTAATGTGCTCTGTTGGGATTGCCAGTATTGATGTCACTCTTGTCTGAAAAAAGTGGAGTAGCCCTTCTACGATTTGTTGCCATAAGGTGGGGGGGGAGGGCTGGACTTACAAGCCAAGCAAGTACAGAATAGCGCCTTTAGAGACTGTGGTACATTATGGGCTTCCTAGCGGATTGTTTTACATATTGTGATTTGGCTGAATACGTCGCATACTCGTTATATAGTAAGGTTTTGTAGAGGAAAACGTTCAGGCTTTATTTCCTTGGTGCTCTATTTGCTCGATTCGTTGTCACAGAAAGTAGCTCTATGGAACATCTCTACAAACGGCGCGGGGGGGGCATTTTGCAGTTTCGCTGCTTCACTAGTTGCGGCTTACAAGTGCTACTCTGGTGAAACCTGTGAACTCTTGTGAAGCTGCACAAGCTCGCCGAGCCAGCACGGTAGAGCCTGTAAACTCACGGCTCTCTAGATGGGCCGACACATCGATGAGGAATAGCAAAAGTGCAAAATGTCCCCCGTCGCCGAACTGTCCTCTACCTAGTGTTATGGTCTACTTTCAGGTAGCGGAAGGCATGACAGGGGTAAAGAGAAGGAAAAGGAGAAAGAGAAGGAAAAGGAGAAGGAGAGAGAAAAAGAGAAAGAAACCGTTCGCGGTACTCCGACGGTGAGCACACGTATATTGCCACATCTTGGGGACTCACCCGAAGACCGCTGCCTCAATTGTCAAGTTTCTTTC